CCGAGCAGCCCGGACTAGAAAGCAATAGATTTCTTGCTTTTGCCACAGATTCCCCCAGCTGTGAGCCTTCCAACCTTCTAAGTATTCCTTTATATGCGTTTCAGAGTTCTGGGAACAGCCCCTGAACCTGCTTAGTCAGGTATTCTGTGTTGTTGGAGGAGCTCTCTGCTATACGTCCACCCAATCCGCCATCTTGTTTGTTGTCCTGGATGCCCATTTTTAGGAAACAACTTTGGATATACTATTAAAAAAACACCTGTAGAAGGCAGTGAAGAAGACAAATCACAAAATGGTGTGAATAAAGCCAGTAAAGGAGGACTCATCTATGGGAACTATCTGATCTGGAAAAAGTTTTGAATGCACAAGAGCTTCAAAGTGAAATAAAAGGAAATAAAATCCATGATGAGCAACTTTTCATTATAACTCATCAAGCATATGAACTCTGGTTTAAGCAAATCCTATGGGAATTAGATTCTGTTAGAGAGATCTTTCAGAATGGCCATGTCAGGGATGAAAGGAATATGCTTAAGGTTGTTACTCGGATGTACAGAATAGCAGTGATCCTTAAACTATTGGTATAACAGTTTTCCATTCTGGAAATAATGACTCCCTTGGATTTCAATGACTTCAGAGAGTATTTATCTCCAGTATCAGGCTTCCAGAGTTTGCAGTTCCGTCTATTAGAAAAAAAGATTGGTGTTCTTCAGAGTATGAGAGTCCCTTACAACAGAAGACATTATCGCGATAACTTCAAAGGAGAAGATAATGAACTGCTATTGAAGTCTGAGCAAGAAAAAACACTTCTGCAACTAGTGGAGGCATGGCTGGAAGGAACACCAGGTTTAGAACCACATGGATTTAACTTCTGGGGAAATTTTGAAAAAAAATATTGTAAAAGGCCTGGAAGAGGAATTCATAAGGATTCAGGCTAGGGAAGATTCAGAGGAAGAAGAGGAACAAATGGCTGAATTCCAGAAACAAAAAGAGGTGTTACTGTCTTTATTTGATGAGAAACGCCATGAACATCTCCTCAGCAAAGGTGAAAGATGGCTGTCATACCGAGCGCTTCAGGGAGCACTGATGATGTATTTTTACAGGGAAGAGCCTAGATTCCAGGTCCCATTTCAATTGCGACTTCTCTTATGGACATCGATACACTAATGACAAAATGGAGATATAACCACGTCTACATGGTACACAGAATGCTGGGTAGCAAGGCTGGCACTGGTGGATCCTCAGGCTATCAGTACCTGCGCTCAACTGTGAGCGACAGGTACAAGGTATTTGTAGATCTCTTTAACCTTTCAACATATCTGGTTCCACGACACTGGATACCGAAGATGAATCCAATCATTCATAAATTTCTCTACATGGCTGAATATTGTGACAGCTCTGACTTTAGTAGTGATGAATCAGATTAAAATCATCTACAAAATCTATGAAGAATATTGATTTCTCACTATATATATTTTTTCTATGAATTTTCATGAGAATACAAATAGTCCTAATATATGTATATAGAGAGCCAAACACCATAGTGTTGATTTCAAATCAATTCCCCAAAATCATTTTATTATGTCAAGTTTGTGATAAGATTAAGTATTAGGATCAGAAACAATTCTGTTAAATGATAACATTGTATATTGATCATTTTCCTAGTAAAAACTCATTTTCCCCTGATATTCTACTTAGTCCCATAGTGTAATCATTTTCTTATTGTTCTAATTTTAATGATTGTAAACTTGAGCTAGTTCAAAAATTTGTACAATAAAGTGCTTCATTTTGTACAAAGACTTTTATTCAATTAAAATTTCATAAATAATAAAAATCAGTCTTTTACCATGAAAAAAAACAAAAACAAAACAACAACAAAAAAATAACTTGTGCAGGAGATTTGCCTAATGCAATATATCATTTGATTTCTTGATTGCTGCTTTCATGAGTGTTGATGGTTGATCCAAGAAGAATGAAGTCCTTGACAACTTCAATCTTTTCTCCATTGATAAGAATGTTGTTTATTGGTCCAGTGGTGAGGATTATATTGAGATGCAATCCATACCAAAGATTGTGCTCTTTGATCTTCATCAGTAATTACTTTAAGTCCTCTTCACTTTCAGCAAGCAAGGTTGTATCATCTGCATATTGCAGGTAGTTAATGAGTCTTCCTCCAATCCCGATGCTACGTTTTTCTTCATAGAAGCCAGTCTCTCGGATTATTTGCTCAGCATACAAGTTGAATAAGTATGGTGAAAGAATACAACCCTGTCACACACCTTTCCTAATTTTAAACCATTCAGTTTTCCCATGTTCTGTTTGAACAACTGCCTCATGGTCCAGGTACAGATTCTTCATGAGTACAATCAAGTGTTCAGGAATCTTCAACTTTGCACTGTTGTCCATAGATTGTTATGGTCCATATAATCTAAAGCCTTTGCGTAGTCAATTAGACCCTAGGTAATTTCCTTATCTGACTGTCATCTGTTGTAATCTCTTAAATGAGACTAAGAATAGTACTGGGAATCCCTGGGAAGTACAAATTGTTAAAGTGTTCAGTTGCTAACTCAAAAGATGGAGGTCAAGTCCATCCAGAGGCACCTTAGAAGACAGGCCTGGTGATCTACTTCTGAAAAATCAGCCACTGAAAACCCTGTATAATACAAATGACACACATGGAGTTGCTATGAGTTGGAACTGACTCGACAGCACTTGGTTTAACCTCTAAGATTGTTGTAAGGATTAAAAGGAGTGCATGCAAAAATGCTTAGCATAGTGCCTGGAACTCAATAAATATTAGCTATTATTATTAAGTGATCTTATTTAATAGTAGCATATTACTAGAATTATTCTATAACACAATGAAAAGGCATTAGATGCTTATGTTGTTGTTAAGGGCCATTGAGTTGGTTCCCACTCATAACAACCCTGTATTGGGTTTCCATGGAGCCACTGGAGAGTTTGAACTATTGATCCTGCAGTTCAAACCAACCTTGTGGTCCAGTGCTGTTCTTACAGTGCCACACCAGGACTCCATTAGATGCTTATAGTATAATGAAGCTATAGAATACAGCTTCACTGCTTTTTGAGGGAAGGAGAGACTTGATGTAATAGAGGATTGAGAATTAGACTCTGATACTTGTCCTGAGATGATTTATAAATTAGGTCTTCATCACCTGGAAACAAGAGCTGCCC